GCAATGGAATACAAGTTAACTTCTCCAAAGAATGAGGTCATTCAGCATTGGTGACCTTGGAAAAATGTCCCTGAGCTATCATTAGGTTCACAAAGCAAGCTGCAGAACAAAACACAGAGTGGGACGGCTTTGGTTTGGTGTTCAAAGCCAGCGTCTGTTTCTGGATGTGTATCTGCACTTGTGTGTCCAGGCTGAAACCCGGTTAAAGGAACAAGTGCCAGCAGCGGCCCTGCCTGGGCTGCCTGGGCCCTGTTGACCACACACACGCCCTGCGGTTCTAACTGCAGAGCGAGTGGAAAGGGCTGTTTGAATTCAGCCCTGACAAACCCCTCCCTTCCCCATGGCCCACCCGCTGCGGCCCTCCTGGCGCTGGAGATGGAGGGGTTTAGTGAGGTTATTAAGGCGTTCATGGGAGCGGGAGCTGAGCAGGAGCAGAGGGCCGGGGCTCCGTGCTCCCCCGAGGGGCCACGAGGGGGAGCTTTTAGAAGGCGTTCTAGGAAGTACAAATGCTCCTTCGACTGACCGACTGACCGTGCAAATGTCACACGCGGGCGTGCCCTGAACACCCTGGCGCTGTCCCGCGTCACAGCTGAGCAGCACAGCACACAGTAGGGCTTCAGTGCCAACCCCTCTGGACTGTGGGGCTCCCTGGAGCGGTGCTCACTGCCACGGTCCAGCATGGGGAGAGAGGCTCAGACCACCTAATCGCTGGCCAGGGAAGAGACCCAAATTCCAATACAACCCCAAGGGTGGTTCCGGTGAAGCGCCCATCACTCCTGCCCCATCACCAACAGAGAATCCTAGTGGAATCGTCGAAAGTCAGGGCCAAGTAGTGGATGGGTTCAAGTGGACAGTTAGGGGTCAGTTTGGTGTTTTCTTATTGGTTAAGCTCGAGTTTTCTTTTACCGTCTACACTGAGGGTCAATTTCTTTACGTAGAAGCCCAAGGCACTGGAGCTCCTAACACTAAACTAAAATACCAGGAAGTCGCCTCACCCCACACAGGTCTCAAGAGGCTTAACGAGCAGAGCGTGTAGCAGACCGGAAGTGTGTGACCTCATGTAAGCACAGAGGCTGCCCAGTGCCTCCCTCTCAAATGCCCTTCCTCTCTCACAGCCACTGCAGCCACATCTTTGTATCTGAGCTCAGCCCGTGCACCCCCTCCACGGAGAACGAAGCCTTCTGGTTTGCCGACGGTGAGCACTTCTGAAAAGACCCTCAGCTGTGTTCTCACACTAGCGCAAGGTCACTCAAGGGCACTTGGAAAGCACCGGAAGGAAGGCTTTATGCAAAGGGAGCATAGAGGGGTAGGCATGGGGCCTCTGAGTGGGCTCTGTGCAGTGCAGACACGGAATGGAACTCTGAATACAGCGTGGGCAAGGGGGATGCATAGCAAGCATCAGGGGAGGGCACCTGTGGATGGGAAATTTCTGCGAGGAACATCATGGGTAGGAAGGTAAGTGTCCCAGTGGGTTCTTCCTGAGACAGCCTGGGGCCATCAGGCATCCCCTGGGGGACCAAGGAGGAACCCAATCACCCAGTGGACTTGTCAGCGTTCTTTGCTCAACCTGAATTTTTACCAGGAAGTGCCCGGGCAGGCCAGGAGAATCTTCGAGAATCTCACTATGAGTTTGTTCTGGCCAGACTCCTGGCCAGCAGCTCACCCTTCCTGTGCCAGGCCTTGAAGGGTGAGCAGGGGAACCACCCTGGAGGATTTGTCTCAGCTGAGAAACCGGCGGCTCTTCACCGCTCTCCCAGCTCCAGGCATTTCCTCCAGGGCCCACACGGCCTCCATCCCATGGTTTGCTCTGGTTTCTTGCTCTTCTGTCCTACGACTTTTCTATTTCTCTCCCAAGTCACTTGCTTGTTAGCAATGACAGCAGCCCTTTGAGCCCCATGCAGGCAGCTCGGGCACGCCACCTCGGTCATCCTCACCCTGGGACTTCACGTATACTATTCCTAGTATTCGACGGAACGCGAGCTGCAGAGGCCTGGGCATGAGATTCGGCCCTGCCTTGGTCTGTGCCAGGGCCTCTGCACACGGCCCCACTGCCCCGACCTCCTCTGCTCCACTCCATGGCCCAGCGGGTCACCTGCACGTCCCCCACCTTGACCTGCCATTGGCTTGGACGCTCCATTCTGGCATTTTCTGCTCTGACATCGAATCCACGAGAAGAAAGGCAAATAAGCGTTTGCTCCTCCTATTTCTTAATTGGTAAAGCGACAGTGTCTTCCAAAGGCAATTAGTGATTGCTTCTTTGATACAGTTTGTTTAGATCATGATGGACCCACAGACTTTTGTACATTGGTTCTGCATGGGTGATTACGGTCACTATGTATTTATTTGTTGCCCCTCAAACGCTTCCATCTCTGGCCAACAGGGGTCCCTTCTCATTGGCTCGTGGGGCCTCTGGTGGGATCAGGGGTCTTTGCCTTGAGCTCCTCTCCTCTCCTCCCCTTCCCAGATCCAGAACCAAAGGAGCCCCAGCTCCCTTAGTGGGAAATGCCAGTCCAACAGCGTGGTCTGGGGGAGGAGTCTGCATCACCCTTGGGTTGTGGGTGTTTCTAGATGTTTTCAGCAGTCCAAGGTATGAAATAGGTCATTTTTAAAAAGAGAAAACTAAACCATTTATGCACACGGATATCTTCAAATCCTTTATATTTGCATTTTACACTGAAAATCTTGGCTACTAGCAATATTAACATACTTGTCGTAAGTAATTTCCTTTATCATAAAATGGACATGAGTTTCAAAATAATGATACCAATATTATTGGTAACAGTAAGGGTTCCTGTGTTTTTCTTTGTCCTCAGAGTCTCTAGGGAATATACATGTGAAAGCCTGAGTTGTAGGTTGTTTGAAATAAATTCACGTCTCTGCAATTTTGTTACTGACACAATAACCAGCTGTGCTCGTTGGTTCCTGCCTTGTTTGTACTTTTTAAAAAAGATGTATTGACTTGAAATGCACAGTGTCAGAGAGAGAGAGAGAGAGAGGCTCTTCCATCTGCTGGCTCACTCCCCAGATGACCACAATGGCCAGGTTTGGGCAAAGAGGAAACCAGGAGCCGGGAACGCCATCCGGGTCTCCCACGTGGGTAGCAGGGGCCCAAGCTCTTGGACTGTTGTCCACTGCCTCCCCAGGCTCATTATCAGGAAGCTGGATTGGAAGCAGAGCACCAAGGACTCAAACTGGCGCTCCAGTATAGGGTGCCCGTGTCACAAACGGTGCCTCCACCTGCTGTGGCCAGCCCTTGCTTGTATTTTTGAGAGATCATTTTATTTTTCTGCTAATTTTCTTTTTCACATGAAAAATGTCTACATTTTTCTGAGTTCAAACTCTAAAACAAACTACATTCAGAGAAGTCTAGAGTTCTTGGTTCTTGCCTCCCGTACCCATACTACCCCAGCCCCCCCCCCTTCTCTCTCTTCTTACAAGGAAGCTTTTTTTTTTTTTTTTTTTTTTGACAGGCAGAGTGGACAGAGAGAGAAAGAGAAAGGTCTTCCTTTTACCGTTGGTTCACCCTCCAATGGCCGCCACAGCCGTTGCACTGCGGCCAGTGCACCACGCTGATCCGAAGCCAGGAGCCAGGTGCAGGGCCCAAGTACTTGGGCCATCCTCCACTGCACTCCCTGGCCACAGCAGAGAGCTGGCCTGGAAGAGGGGCAACCAGGACAGAATCCGGCACCCGACCGGGACTAGAACCTGGTGTGCCGGCGCCGCAGGCGGAGGATTAGCCTAGTGAGCCGCGGCGCCGGCCTATAAGGAAGCTTTTAAAATTAGTGTTTGGCTTATTTTATTTAATCTAAATGAAACTGTAAGCAAATACACGTACACATCATATTTACGCATGCGTGTATAGAGGCTTCCTTTGCATGTTCCTCTACACTGCTGGGCACGTTTCTCATGCCTGCACTGGAACACTGGATGAGAAAGGCAAGGATAGGGGTTCAGGACACGGCACTGCCCACTGGCACGCCAGGCCATGGGGGAGGGAGGGAGTGGGTGAGCAGGGGATGCTAGGACCACCACCCCACTGCACTACAGTGGCCATTCTTCCGTTCTATGTGCCCGGCATCCACATCTAACTCGGTCTGAAAAATGGTTTCTACCACTAAAAAAAAAAATCTAAGAGAAAGTGACCAGGAGCCAATCATCCCCCAGAGCTGGGCCCTGGCCTTTGGTGAGGCCTGCGTGGTGACCCGGTGACACACGCTGACTTTTCTACGATGGCTGTCTGTCTGAAGTCGAGCTCCAAGGAGACCCCGGGATGGGGGATGGGGACCCACATCTTTTCTCAACAGTAGAGCAAAGCAACGGAGCACTCTGTCCGTGTCTTCGTATGCACATTTCTAAAACATCTGTAGCTCTGATTAAGGGGCTCTAAGAATTTTAAGATGGGCCAGCACTGTGGCATAGTAGGTAGAGCCACTGCCTGCAGTGCCGGCATCCCATATGGGTGCCGGTTCAAGTCCTGGCTGCTCCACTTCCAATCCAGCTCCCTGCTATGGCCTGGGAAAGCAGTAGAAGATGGCCAAAGTCCTTGGGTCCCCGCACCTGCATGGGAGACCAGGAGGAGGCTCCTGGCTCCTGCCTTCAGATCAGCCGTTGCGGCCAACTGGGGAGTGAACCATCAGATGGAAGACTCTCTCTCCCTCTCTCTCTCTCTCTCTGCATCTCCTTCTCCCTGTGTATCTCTGACTTTCAAATAAATTAATAAATAAATCTTTTTAAAAAAAGAATTTTAAGAAAATACAGACGAAGGAAGTCGCAGAGGCTGCCGGAGACGGAAGGAAAGTGTCATTGTTCCCGGATCTATAAAATTGGAAGCACTTTCCTGATGGGCTGGTGCATCCGCTCCAGAGCTGGCCACCCCCAGATTCCCCACATCGGCCGCAGGGAGCTGTCCCGAGCTTGCATTGCATGGTGCTTTGAAATCTGAGGGTATCTATGGCACTGGCTCACTGCAAGAAAGCCCTTTATGAGGTCATCATCCCACACCCGCCATCTCTCCCCAGAAGGAGACATGTGAGCCTTCAAACACGCTGGAGACGCCACCATGCGCCACTTTGCAAACCCTCTTTTAAAAACCATCATCGCCAGGAGCCCGTTTGATAGCATCAGGAGGAAGCAGTGTCTCCAGTATCTGAAAGCCCTGCGGCTGCTGCAGTGCGATGGATTTAGGACTGTGTACTTTGGGGAGACTGATATTCCGGAAAGCCTGGTCACTGGCGAAGACTTCAGCGACGGTTACTTCATGCAAACTCCGACTTGGTGCATTGTGCATGCCGGTGGCGGTCAAGGCTGGGTGCCCTGGAGGTACCGGATGTTCCTGAGAGACGAGCTGTGTGTCAAACAGGAAGACAGCGTCTTCTTTGAGTTCTGTGACATGCTGAAGAAGGCCTATGGGAAGTGTGCCATCGTGGTCAAAGAGAGAAGGCAGCAGGATGAGCTGAGGCCACAGGGCAGCAGAGACGCCGAGGTTCAGACTCACGTGCCCAAAGCCAGCCACCTAACGAGCATCGCTTGTTGCCCCAACGTGGCCAAGTCCTGTGGCCATGAGCTGCTCTCTCTGCCCTCTCCTTACAATTACCTGAACCCTCTGGACTCAGCCTGGTCTTCTCTGAAATGGTTCATCATCAATAACAGGAAAGAGTTTTGTCTGGAGTCCAATGACCATGTCTATTCTTACCAGTATATACTGTTCAGTGACTTAATCAGCAAAGGGATCGAAAGGATGAGCCCAAGCAAATGGAAAACACTAACTACCAAAGTACGGAGGTGGGAAAACTACTACCTGGGGAAATATTCCCAAGGGTGATTCCCCCAGCAAGCAGCGAGACCCTGCTCCACGCATGGTCCTTACCGCTAACCTTGTCGGGCTCCGTTCTGAGCCACTGCCACCAAAGGTACCGCAATAGGGACCTCGCAGGGATGCTGTGAGGACGGGGAGGGGCCTCAGGATGTCAACAAGGTACTTGGAATCTACCTGAGGTTTCATTAAAGCTTCTTGGTAAAATAGGGGTCTTGGATCTCATTAAGGCCGTGCTGAAGACTGGGTGGGCTATGTCAACAAGAGGAGCAGGGCTAACCCAGTCTACACGAGGATGGTGAGGAGCAAGGGTGAGCAGACTGAATGGCTGTGTGGGCAAACCTAGGTCCCGGGCAGGCGTCATGGTGCAGCAGGTTAAGCTGCTCTTGTCACGCCACCATCCCATATGGAAGTGATGGCTCAAGTCCTTTCTGCTCCGCTTCCAATCCAGCTCCCTGCTAATGCACCCGGGAAAGCAGCGGAGGATGGCCCAAGCACCCAGCACCCATGTGGGAGACCTGGAAGAAGCTCCTGGCTCCTGGCTTTGGAGTAGCCCAGCTCCAGCCGTTGTGGCCATTTGAGGAGCGAACCAGCATATGGAAGGCGCGCTCTCTCTCTCGCTCGCTCTCTCTCTCTCTCTCTCTGCCTCTCTGTAACTCTGCCTTTCAAATAAATAAATAAATAAATCTTTAAAAAAATAAAAGACTAGGTCTGAGAAGAAAAACGAAATTTTAGTGCCCACACAGAAAAAGTTAAAATTCAGCGGTGTGTCCATGAGTTTCAGCCCGCCAGACTGACCCCAAGGGAGCCACTGCCGTCAAGAAGAGACAGCGCCTGGTCACAGGCCAAGCCCGACGCTCTCCTACTCATTCTCCTGCACTTGGCGTCAGTGACGAGGTGGCGAGAGAGCACCAGGCATCCAGACAAACCCTCCAAGACAAGCTGGCGCTCCTATAAGGGGCCCAGGGAGCTGTCAGTGACGGGTTCAAGGGCAACTTGGGACAGCAGATGGCAGGAAGGGGACCTGCAGAGCCCCGCCTTCCAAGAACCCCAAGCAGAGGCCAGGGAGCCCCTTGTGCCGCCTGCCGCCGCTCCACGCCCTATGCAAGCTAGGGCCGCTGCTGGCATCGGCTGCAGGGATTTGTGTTGGACCTTTGCACTCTCAGAGCAAAAGGGCTGGTGCCTGTTAAGCGTGTCACACACTGGCTCTGGCTTCTGTATGTTAGGCATGGCTTTGCAATTACAAGTCATCATTCGGAGGTGTGGAAAAAATAACTTAAGATATTGGCAGTGAGGGAGGCTGGTGGGGAGGGGATGTGTGGGAACGCTGTAGTTTTTGATCAGCTTTGCTGTGACCCTGTGGCTCAGCGGGCTAAGCTGCCACGTGCCACCCTGGCCCCCCATATCAGAGCCGCCGGTCCCAGCCCTGGCTACTCTGCTACCCAGCGTCCTGGGAAAACAACAGCAGGTGATCCAAGGACCTGGGTTCCCGACACCCACACGGGAGAGCTCAATGGGCTCTGGGACCCTGACTTCAGGCTCAACCAGCCCCAACACTTGTCTCTCCTTCTTGCTCTCTGCCTTTCAAATCAATCAATCAATGGATATTTATTTTAAAAATAAAGCTTCTTTAAATAACATAATCCTCACAACACCCAAATTTCTACCCAACTCTTTTTTTTTTTTGGACAGGCAGAGTTAGGCAGTGAGAGACAGAGAGAAAGGTCTTCCTTCCATTGGCTCACCCCCCAAATGGCCACTACGGCTGGCGTGTTGCGCCAATCTGAAGCCAGGAGCCAGGTGCTTCTCCTGGTCTCCCATGCGGGTGCAGGGCCCAAGCACTTGGGCCATCCTCCACTGCCTTCCCAGGCCACAGCAGAGAGCTGGCCTGGAAGAGGAGCGACCAGGACAGAACCCGGCGCCCCGACCGGGACTAGAACCCAGTGTGCCGGCGCCACAGGCGGAGGATTAGCCTAGTGAGCCGCAGTGCAGGCTCTACCCAACTCTTGACAGACTGGACTGTGCAGACAGGGTCCTAACAGCCAAAGGCAGACACCAGCATCATCATCTGGACTTTCCTTCCAGAACTTTCTATTCAGACAGACTCGGTCGGGGGAGACTGGGTGCTCTGTGCTCCTCAGTGAGTAGGATGCAGCATGCTGTCATTGCTGCAGGATTCCTGGTGTGCATCTCACCTGGGCGTGAACCGCCCGCTCAGCACCAGGAGTACCGGCTGCTGTAGATGGCCCTGGCTCTGCCTTCCCTTCCTGTGGCTGCTGCGGCAGATTACCAGAGACTTCGCGGCTTGGAGCAGCAGGTCCTCGTTCTGGAGTTCTTGTTTCTTGGAGGCTGAAGCCAGTCCTCAGTTCCCAGGGGCAAGATCGGGGGTTGGCTGTGGTGCTCCCCCTGGAGGCGCTGGGGGGAACTGCTCTCTGACTCTCCCAGCAAGCTCTTTGGTTTGGGGCGGCATCACTTCCTCCCCTCTTCCTCCCTCTTATAACGACGCTTGCGACCACCAGGGTGATCAAGAATCCCATCACATTTCAAAATACTCAACTTGATCGTGTCCGAAATGATTCTTCTTTTCCCATATAAAATCACATTCACCCAGGTCCCAGGGGGTGGGACCTGGGTACCTCTGGGGACCGTTATTCAGTCAACCACGGGTGCCACGTAAGCTGGCTCAGCCGACTGAAACATGGCGCTTTCCAGTGAACCCGGCGAGACAACTCAGACTGTAGTAAACACCCTGGGGTGCTCTTCTGCCCTATCTCACGTGTTTTAGGATCTCAGTTCCTTGAGAGTAAGCACGGAGCTTCAAGCATCCTTGGTCACTTCAATGTGTTGTCACAGTGCGGGCACAGGTGCACAGGAGTCTTGGGATGTGAGCGGGTTTTGCCCGCACATCACACTTACTACACACCCACTTGGGGTTCAGGAGGAACAAGCACTTATAGCCACAGAGGCGTAACTCAGTTAGTCCTCATAACACCCAGTGCTGTAGGACCTGTGGTCTCCATTTTACAGATGGGAAAGACTGAGGCAGATCATGTGAGTCGCTCTTATTTGGAAGAGCGAAGACTCCAATCCAGGGACCCATTTCATGCCCTGTATTCGCAGCCGCCTCTCGACCAGCCAGAGCGTGTGCAATCTTCAAGCAGCCATATCAGGAAAGTGCAGAGAGTTGGGACATCACTAGGGCATCAGACTCTTTTTTTGCTTGTTTTTTTTAAAAAAAAACTTTATTTTATTGATCTGAGAGGCAGAGTGGCAGGGAGGAGGACAAAGAGAGAAAGAGATCTTTCATCCACTGGTTCACTCCTCAAAAGGCCTCAACAGCCAGGGCTGGGCCAGGCTAAAGTCAGGAGCCAGGAACTCCATCCAGGTCTCCCACATGGATGGCAGGGATGAAATACACCATGTGTGTGGCAGGTGGCGGGGCACAGCAGGTTAAGCCACTGCCTGCGCGAGGCTGGCATCCCGTATGTGAGCACTGGTTCTAGTCCCAGCTGCTCTACTTCCAATCTGGCTCCCTGCTAATGAGCCGGGGAAAGCAGCAGAGGAAGGCCCAAATACTGGGGCCCTGCCACCAGCGGACGAGACCTGGATGGAATTCTAGGTTCCTGGCTTCAACCTGGCTGTTGTGGCCATTTGGGGAATGATGGAAGCTCGCTCTCTCTCTCTCACTGCCTTTCAAGTAAACAGGAAGGAAGGAAGGAAGGAAGGAAGGAAGGAAGGAAGGAAGGAAGGAAGGAAGGAAGGAAGGAAGGAAGGAAGGGAGAGAGGGAAGGAGGGAGGGAGGCCCTCTTTCTTCCGGTGGCCCAGGGAGGTGACGTGCTAGAGAATGGCACTGCCCCCAGACTGAGCCACGAGGGGAAGACACAGATGGAGCTCAAGCCCATGGGAGGGGTGGCATGCCCCACCTGCGCCAGCCGGGGGCGTGGCCCACCCATGGGTCACAGTCCTTCCACTCGTGATTGCTCTGCGTTGTGCGTGCCATTCTTCCATTGACCTCACTGGGTGCAGAGAGCCAATTGCCTGGGAGCAGGGCAGCGGTCAGCAAGCTCGGCTTACAATGGAAATTGAGATGAGGCCGGTGACTAACTCACCAGACACACGCACTACTAGTGATGGCAGGGCTGGGACCAGAACCCAGGTCTGCCTACTGGGAAGCCCCGAGGCCGTCTCCAGGCAGCTCCACAGAAATGGCCACAAATAGAAGGCTCACCACACCCACCCCCTAAAATGCCAGGTGTGCCAGGGCAGCAGGTTGGGGGTGACAGGATGCACTCCTGGACAGCAGGAGCCCAGGGCCCTGTCTGTTTAGCTCCATTATCCTAGACTTGGTTCAGGCTTCACAGTGCCTTCCTGGTCCAAAAGGGCTGCTGAACAAGCCATTACATGAACATCCCAGATAGCAAAGATGGAGAGAGGGAGGAAAGGAGCTGGTGTTGTGGCACCATGGGTTAAGCCATGGCCTGCAGTGCTGGCAGCCCATATGGCTGCTGGTTTGTGTCCTGGCTGCTCCACTTCCCATCCAGCCTCTTGCTAATGCGCCTGGGAAAGCAGCAGAAGACGGCCCAAGTGCCTGGGCCCCTGCAGCCACATGGGAAACTCAGGTGAAGCTCCTGGCTCCTGGCTTTAGCCTGGCCCAGCTGCAGCTGTTTCGGCCATTTGGGGAGTGAACCAGCAGATGGAAGATTCTCTCTCTCTGTCTCTCTGTAACTCTACCTTTCAAATAAATAAATAAACAAATCTTTAAAAATAGAGAATGAGAGAGAGAGAGAGAGAGAGAATGTTTCATCCCCTCCCTTTGAAGGAGACTTCCATGGAGTTCCAGCATAACTCTTCCCTTAAATCTGGTTAGCTGACTTGGTCTGGGAACTGTGGTCTTTGATTCTGGGTGGCAACAGGGCCAGATTGAAGAGAGGATTCTACCAGTATGGAGACGCAGACCACTCACGGTCTCGGCTGCTGGCTCCCCTTCCTGTGCAGTTACCAGCCACACCCTCACCAAGCATCGCAGACCCCCCACGCAGCCGGCAGTGTGTGCCAGTGAGCCTGCACACCGAGGTGTGGACGGGGCCTCTGGGCAGCGAGGGCTCAGGGGCGGTGCTGCTGTGTTATGGACAGAGGAGGAGTGGGGGATTCATCGTAGGACAGAGGGGGACAGAGAGGAAAGCCAGCCCCAGGCAGAATGCCATGTGTACCATGCCCACGGCCGACCCCGTGTGAAACAAAAGCCAAGCAAGGCTGCTGTTTAGACCGCGCTCTTGCACGAGGCCCCAACAGAGCAGACTGAACC